AACACCTGATCGGTTATAATTTGTGAATTTATTTGGAAAATAAAGTAATCACTATAACTTTAACTCTATGTTACACAACAGATGAAACATGTGCGAACGTTTTTTCAAAATTTTCTTATATTCTCTTTATGCTTCCACCGCCCCCTTATTTTTATTCAACGCCCCCCAATTGCACCCAAGGCGACTACTGCCCCCCTGGATCGTTCCAGCGCCCCCCAGGGGGCGGTATCGCCCACTTTGGGAACCTCTGCTCTAGAAGATGAAATTATGATCCCTTTTGTGAAGGTTGTAATTTGCTAATTATGGTACAGTAGATCCTCAGTTACAAACACCTCGGGAACGAAGAGATTGTTTGTAACTCTGAACAAAAGGTTATGGGTGTTCTTTCAAAAGTTTATAACTGAACGTTGATTTAATACAGCTTTGAAAGTTTACTATGCAGAAGAAAATGCTGCTTTTAACTATCTTAATTTAAATGAAACAAGCACAGAAACAGTTTCCTTACCTTGTCAAAAACGTTTTAAACTCCTCCCCCCCTTTTTTTTAGTAGTTTACATTTAACATAGTTTTGTACTGTATTTTTTTTTTTTTAAATCTCTGCTGCCTGATTGCATACTGGGGTTCTAAATGAGGTGTGTGGCTGACTGGTCAGTTCAGAACTCTGTAGTGATTTGTGGTACCAGTGGTGTATGGTGCTCAGCGAGTTCTGTTTACTTCTGGTTTGTGAACAGGATTTGTTTGGAAATCTAGGTTTGGGGGGAGGGGAGGGGTTTGTTAAACCAAAACTGACAATAAATATTAGCAGTTTTATACTAAGTTAATTTCTATCATTTAGAGTATGGAAGAACTGGAGAAAAATCATGAAAACCTTCTAGCAGGTGCACAAAATGAACTTCGCAAGGAAATGGCTATGTTGCAAAAGAAAATCATGATGGACACTGTAAGTATTAACATTGATTTATGGGGAAAAACAGCTAAAAATGAAAAGACAGAACATTAAGTAGAAAAATCATTTAACATTCACTTTTAATATATCAGACTGATGTGGTATTTTTTCCTAAATGTTGCATTTGTTCAGTGTTATCTCCTTTCTTGTAACAGCAACAGCAAGAGATGGCAACTGTTCGCAAGTCTCTTCAGTCCATGTTATTCTGATGGCTCAGTGAAGAAACAACTTGCACCTAAGTAACATGATACAATTATAGCCATTAGCCATGGAAAAATAAGTCTGTTCCTTTAAAATTCCAATTTAAGAGTTCCTATTAATCAAACTGTTACATGTATTGTTTCAATAATGTTACTAGTGAACTTGCTAGTCATATTTTTCATGTTTTTAATGGAAGAGATTGCAAACTGGATTCTTTCCTCAGAAACTATTAATATGTCTGCCCAAATCCTCCTTAACCTTGTTGCAGTGAGAGTTGCTTTTCTAACACTAAGGCAGTATTATAAAATGCAAGACTATAGCAGTATGGAGGTTAATAGATGTTTACCTCTTGGAACAGGTGAATGTGTACCATAGGTAGCATTAATGCAAAATGGATCACAAAATTCCACCAATAATGACATCACAGGATTAAAAGGACACATTAAAAACTTGATGCTGTTATGCAAAAATGTACCTTTGCAACTTTATAATTTGTGAACTAAAGAAACCACCAAAATAATCCTAGGTTCTGTGTGTACATCTTGCATATTTAGCAGGATAACATACTGGAAAGTTTAGAAATTAAAAGTATGCTACACATGAATTATATTTCTTTGATACTTTAGGTTATTAGACTACATCTTGAGGGTTTTTTTTAAAGTATCATTAGTAGCCTTATTATAAGCTGTACGTTGTACTTTACTGCACTAGCAAGGACATACGTTTGCCAAGAAGGCAAGACTCGTTAGTCATGTTAAACTAGCTGTTTTGGCTTTACAGCATAGCGCACATAATTGGTTTAAAATGAGCCAAAATAAACAACAATTTACAACACAGTCTGCAGTGATTATTGATAACACTACACATCTATATACTATCAGTTCCTGTGGACCATTTTGGAAGAGATACTAAAGTAGATGCCCATCTCCAGAGCTGTAGTTGGAAGGGTAGTTCTTGCTGCTTTTTGAAAAAATTAGCAGTTTAGTGAAGATTAAGTTTTTAAAGTAAATTCTTTATATTTTGTATATCACAGTACAGTGAATTCTGATTTACTTTTTACAGCCAGGTTGGAGTTTTCATGCATTTGTTTTACAGAAAACCACTGTATACACATTCATTTCTTACAATTTAGGAAATCCCTGAAATATTTTCAACATTTTGATTTAATACAAAAAATAACATTTGGTCATTAGCTGCTTGACATCACTAACAAATATAACTTGGAGAAACTAACACGAGTTGTAATGACAGTTTTAGCTTTGATTCTATAAAAGAATGTATAGTAATATGCCCATAAGGAGTGATTTTTTTTCCAGTCTTTTCTAGAATTGCCCTAAAAATGCACTTTCCCAAAGGGTTCCAAAATCAGACCTTAGAGATTCTGTATAAAATATTTGTCCATTACTTAATATTTACATTTTGGAATTGGGTTCCCTGAGTTTTCTGACTGCTTCCTGGATTCTGGAGCCTGTGTCATATTTTAGGGAGTTACTGTTGCACTATTTTCTGGATAGGGAAGTCTAGGCCAGCTGTTCATATTAGCAGGGCAGTTTTTCAGTCCCTGTTTAAAACTGGGATAGAGGAGGGGAACAGTTTTCTAGAGAGGGGATTTGTAATGGCCTATGCAGTGGAAACAACTAAGCTACTTATCTGAGATTGGAATTTTGAGTTAGTAACCACCATTGCCGCCACACTTTTCCAAAACAGTTATTAGGACTCAGAGCAATAAACACTCATTCAGAGCTAATTCACACATGTTGGGAAGACATGTTAAAGTGTGAGACTCTTTGGTGTCTACCAAGTCATGGAACTCCACTTATATTATCTCTAAGTTGTCATTTAAGTATAATCAGATAGTGCTGCAAGATTTACTCGTTTCTGCTATGATATAGTCAAACAAATGTTTTTCAGTCCAATAGAAAGTATTGCCTACAACATAATTTTATTACTGCACAATGTTAATACCCACAGGCACAACTATACCCTACACTGCAAATTGTTTTGAGAGCACAACACAAGCTTCTGAGGCCTACTGCTTAGTGAAAATAAGGCTGAGCTTGTTATGGAAGAGAAACTGCTGAGTCACTGAAAATTCTTTCATGAAGCAGTTCTCGTTTACAGTATTTACAGAGCAACTGATGCATCTCATTTAGAACTGTTAAAGTTGTCATTACTGCTTATCTTATGAATAACATGCATGAGAGTGATTGTTAAAAGTTCATCTGTGCAGAATGCTTTTCTCCCAGTTTCTTGAGCAGGGTAAGGAGGATGAACCCTTAAGCCTTGTCTACATGGTCAGTGCAAGTAGTGAGTTACAGGTCCAATTTTACAGCAGTAGTATAGCCTCAGCAATCAATGATCCTGTTTTCCAGTAGGATTCTCTAATAATAAATGGGGTGGAGAACCTCATGCCCAGAAAGTATAATCTTTATTCAGAATGCTTGCTAAACAGAATGTTTTTCAAGTTTATTAGAAGCAGTAAGAAACACCACCAGAGGAGTGCAGGTATATCACAGGTGCATGAAGGCTGAGAGCTTTCAACCACTTGAAATCTAACAGGTTATATCATATTATTACAATAATAATGTTGGTGGGTTTCTTCACAAAAGTGAAAACGTGTTTAGTATATTCCAAGCTTTGGGAATGTTGCGAACTGCATTCTTCATTGCTTAAACTGCAAGCCAGCAATTGATAAGGGGTACTTTCACATTGACGGGCTTTTGTAACTAGTCTATTGGAACAGCTTGGAGAGGTGAAAAGTTAGGGTTGACTTATGTTATGTTTGCTACCTAAAAATTAGATTTGGTGGAAGTGTCACTAGCCCTTAGCAATAGTAAGTCAGATCTCTTCTGCTGATTCTCATTTATTTAAACACTGGGTTTTAGATTACCCTCATTTTTGGCCAGTATTTTCAAATAGACAAATGTGTTAACCAACCAGTTGATTTCACAGCCTGAGCTCTTATCACACTGGATATTGCTTTACAATAATCCATTTTATAATCTGTGATGAAATACAGTTAAGTGTCTGATAAAACATTGAGTACAAAACAGTGAGAGATTTTTTTCTAGACAGATTTTTATACTTAAATACCAGGCTTTCCGATGTACTGACAAGTTATACTTAATTCCTTGAACAGTCTGTGTTTAAAAAAAAAAAAAGTCTCACATACAGCTCATTATTACCATAACAAAGTAAAAACTACAGAGAACACATTTTGATGGCAGTTAATCTGATAGGTTGCACTGTTGTGTTCAAAGGATCCTTGCTGATAAGATCTATACATATATAGGCCAAATATTTAGTCTGCAGATTTGCACTTCAGGTTTACAGTTGCAAATAACTACAGCTAAAATGTATGCCATTTAGATGCATCTGATAATGCTGAAGTACCATTAAGTATCTAATTTGCAAGCAACAAGCATTACTTACAAATTATGCGTGCAAAACTAGAAGCCAGGCCTTAGAAGGAAACTCAAGCTATATATATTTTCAGTAACCGCTGAAATGGAAGCTTCACCCCTGAACCTGTACCCAAAGAGATAATGATATTTGGAATTGGTGGGCAGAGTTTGTTATAAAAGATGAAGCAGGGGAGGAAGGAAAAGAAAATCCAGTAGCTTTTTAAAAAAGCTTGGACTAGTCAGGCACTGAGCTCTATTGACTTCTCTTCACCGTGTCAAACACCATATATTATAGTAACAGCAGCAATGAGTTGCTGGATGGTTAATTTTTAATCAGTCTTGATTTGAAAATTTTATTTTAGGCACAGACTGGAAATCTGATTAATTTTATAGCAATTCTCAGCAGTTTGAGATTTTAGAAACAATGTAAACTTAAGAAAATTAGTCATTTTTCCTCTTGTGTAAAGTGAAACAGCTCTTAGAATTCCAATAGTGAGTACTTTTAATTCTGGTACATAGACTGACTACAAATCTAAAGTTATCTTTTTTCAATCAAGGAGAATCTAGTGCATGGGAGAAAATCAGTTTCAGACTGATGAATCCATGATCAAAAGTAATGATTGCAATGCCTAGAATACAATGGAGGAATTTTATGCTTCATGATACAAGCATAAATCACAATAGACTCTGCACAACTTCATATTTAAGTAATTGTATTTGTTATCTGAGCAAATTACGGAGCTTTTCATTGACTTTTCTTGAAAAGCTTTCTCTCTGTATTCCTGAAAAGGGAATCTACTTCATTCATTATTCCCCTAACTGCTTCTCCTCTTCTGCTTGAACTACTAGTCAGTCAGTATGGTTTTGAACCTGTTCAGGAGCTTGAAGTGATGAAATTCTGAAGACATGTATGCGAAGGTGAGCAGCAATCTGCATGCATACACCAGTGGAGTATCTCAGCAAATCAAACAAAGATATGACCTAAAAATAAACAAAAACAAATTCATGTTACAAAAAAAAGCTTTGAAACCAGAAGGTCTACCCTATAGCTCTGCCCTCATGTTCATTTATTTTAAGAATATCTTTGTTTATCCCATCTATTGTTGGGTCAGTAGTTTTAAAAAGGTATTTAAGTGATTAAATTTATATTCAGCTAACTTAAAAGCCATCTTAATTTACAAGTTTTAAACTTCAATTTGACTTTTTAAAACCATTATTGCAAATTAACCATGTTTTTGTATTTCCACTGCTAACAAAGCTTTCGATCTGCATGAATGATTAAATTACTCTGCTAAATTCAAGTTAACATTTACATCAAAGCAAAAGCCTGAATTCATGGCATGAGTCTCCATGATTTTCTTTTGTCCTAAACTTCAGCCCCATGTATTGTAGAGAACAGCTACCACTGTATTGGGTACCAAGAAAGGAGAAACAACTAGTTTAAATGATGGCATGGGAAAAGAGGGACTGAGTTTCCAACCTGCCCCTTATATAGGCCTCCATATGAAAATAAGTATTTAACACTGTTTCAGTGGATTTGTAAATTAAAGTTTAAAACAAATGCTTACCAACGCTATCCATAGAACAATATATTCATCAATAAAACTGTTGAAGTACTGGTCCAAAAATAGAAGACCTGGCCCAATAAATGCAGTATCTTGAAGATAGATCTCGCTTTTTGTCATGTGGGCCACCTACATAAAACAAGATTCAATATAGCTACAAAGCTTGACATTTGGTATCAATGAAAAATTTACTTTGAGAATATGAACTATTATGGTAACAAATATTTTAATAAAGGAACAGTACAAATAAATAATGCTCTTAAAAAGGACAGTCAACCTGTTCAATTGACTAATAAAAAAACTGGGGGTTTTAATAAGGACATTTTCTATTTAAAGTTACTTTAAGCTCTGCTACTATTTAGCAAGGTCTTTTTGGGAAGCTCCTTCGGCACTATGGCATCCCAGCAAAGGCGGTTAACTTGATTAAGAACTTATATGATGGCATACACTGTAGAATGATCCATGGAGGGCAGCTTACAAACAGCTTCCAGGTGCAAACCGGAGTCAGACAAGGATGTTTGTTGTCACCATTTCTCTTTCTCCTTGTCATTGATTGGATTATGAAGACATCCACTTATGAGCGCAGGAACGGAATCCAGTGGACGTTGTGGACCCAGCTTGATGACCTAGACTTTGCCGACAACCTTGCACTCCTTTCGCATAGCAAACAGCAGATGCAAGAGAAGACTAATGTAGTGGCAGCCACGTCATCAAAGGTTGGCCTCAACATCTACAAGGACAAGACCAAGATCCTCAAGATTAACTCCATCAGTAATGACCCAGTCACACTGAAAGGAAGCCCTCTGGAAGTAGTGCAGTCCTTCACCTACTGAGGCAGCAGCATCGACCAACAGTGTGGCACGGACGCAGACATCAAAGCAAGGATCGGTAAGGCAAGAGCAGCTTCCTTACAGCTCAAGATCATCTGGAGCTCCAGAGAGCTGTCTTTGGCAACAAAGATTAGCCTGTTCAACTCCAATGTGAAATCAGTCTTATTGTATGGAGCTGAAACCTGGAGGACAAGTAAAACAACCACCAGGAAGATCCAGACCTTCATAAATAGTTGCCTTAGAAGGATTCTCCAGATCCGCTGGCCAGACACCATCAGCAACATCTACCTCTTGGAGAGGACCCGTCAACTTCCAGCAGAGGAAGAAATTAGAAGGGGAAGGTGGGGCTGGATAGGACACACACTACGCAAGCAGCCAACCAACATCACTAGACAGGCATTGCGGTGGAACCCCCAAGGCAAGCGGAAAAGAGGCCGCCCAAGAAACACCTGGCGACGCGACCTTCAGGCTGATAGCATAAAAATGGGCTATACCTGGAACCAGCTAGAGCAAATAGCCCAGGATAGAGGACTCTGGAGATCTGTGGTTGGTGGCCCATACCCCGATTGGGGTGACGGGCATGAGTGAGTGAGTGAGTGTTTGGGTGAGCCCAAGAGCACCACCACAAAATCTGCTTTTGGCTCACCCTGTCTCCTCTGCCTCTCTAATACATGCCTGCTTGCTGCTCAATTAGTTTCAGCATTGCTGTTGCTGTTACCCCTAGAACCCTTTACACTAAAGAAGCATAAGTATGCAAGTTTCTCCTCTCACCACCCATAACAAAGAAAGTGATGTCACCATGAAGCTCAGTGACAACTGCACATATAGCTCTTCCTTCCAAAGGCCTTCTCCCCTTCTGACTGGTAACTAGCTGTGTTTACAAGTTCTTGTACACCTTCAAAACAGTCTTACTGAGCCTTCTGGATCCAGTCCTTCCTTGTTACTCTGCTCTTGTGAAGTCTAAGCAGTGAGTCTGTGCCATACTTGCTGTAAGCCATGTAGTTGCTTCTCAACTCAAACCTAATACTTTGCTATTTAGCTATACAGTGAAGGTTTGTTAAGACATCTGGAATAGTCTGTACCCATACAAAAAGTCACAAGACAAAAGTCCTCCAATATTAATATCCAGAATAGTGCTAACGAGCTTGTTGATTTTATGGTTTTCTGTCTGGGTAAGGCAGATCTCGGTCTGGTGAGTCTTGCTCTCTTACGAATGAAAAAAAAATGTAGATAAACATAACATTGTACTTTCAGTTGTCTAGAAGAACTCTGTGTATGCCCTAGTCTAAAGATTAAAAAGTTAAGGCAGGAATGCCTTAACCACTGGGCTATAGGGTATTCTTGGACGGGTCTGTTGAAGCTGTTCCGCTTTGTACAAAATATTTGACTATTTAATTAAATAGTCAGTGGCACATGGCCTTGAATTTGAGTCTCCTGCATCACAGGTTAGAGCCCTAACCAGTGGGTTATGAAATTGCACTCTCCGCCTCTTTGGCCCAATGAATAATTTTATAAAAGTGAAACAGTTTCAACAAGAGAGACTGAGACACCCCCATAGCCCAGTAATTAAGGCACTCATCTGGGACATGGGAGAACCAAGTTCTGGATCAGGCAGAGTCATCACCACCTGCTCCTCAGGCTGTTTTGTGCAGGCCCCAATCCAGTTGCTATGCTCTAAGGAGGCCTCTGAGCACATCTCCTGGATTGGATCCCACAGAAGAGATAGTGAGTAAATATCTAGTCTGTGAACCCTGCTGGGGCACAGGTGAAAGTTAGATGCTAAGCTGCACACTGCTGGCAGGACTGAGGTGCAGCCTCCATTTCCCTCCAGTGGAAGTTAAGGTACCTAGGGAACTTTACTAG